TCCATTTCCTGTCTGCTACTGTGCAGGGGCTTGCACAAAGAATTCTGTCTTTGTGCTCGCACTGGTATAATATGGTTCATTCACTCAGTCTTCATTCATTCATTCCACAATTATTTCACATTCTATGGCAGGTGCTTAGCTACAGCTGCAATGCATTAGCAATTAGACCTGGGCACCATCCCCACAGAGCTCAGTCCAATGAGATAAGGGCCTTTGTCTTGCTCATTCATTAGGCAAAAAAAAAAATTAAAAAGCACCAAGATATCCATCAACAGAGGGCTAGTTCAATAAATTGTAGTTCATCTGTATGATGAAATCCTCTGCAAGGGTTTTAATGGTTGACTTAGGATGATGTCTATAACATGTGGTTAAGTTAACTAAACAAAACTCTGTGTGCTACAGTATCACTTGCTAAAAATGAAGAGGCTGGATTTCAGTAGGCAATTCAGAGAAAGTTTCCAACAGCCTTTAAACAAAAATAGAGGAAGTCCAGGAAACTACGTGTTCCATCTTGAAACTAAGCCTGTGGCAGGAAAAGACCATGAAAGATGTTCTGCAGATTAGAATAAACCTTTATTTAGCAGAGACCACAGTTGGGACAGGGCTGGCACGATCTCGGCTTACTGCAAGCTCCGCTTCCCAGGTTCACTGGATAGAGGACTGGCCTTACAAACATTCTTTTCTCATAAGTTATTGCAGACCTAAAGCCAGTTTCAGCCAGCTTATAGAGGCTGTGCACAAACTCTCTTTGTGTCCTACATTCACCTTTTGACATAAAGAGCCAAATTCCACCTCATTTAATATTAAAGCACTGACCGCAGTTTGCAAACTGGTATCACCAATAAAGTTATCCTGCTATTCAGCCATCCTGGTGGTCTTCTGGATGACAATCATGTACAAAACAGTCATAGCAGCCATGGCTACATGCAACATGGGTGAATCTTAAAAACGTTAACAATGCTGGGGAAAAGAAACCAGACTTGAGTAAATACATACAATAGCATTCCATTTATATGTGGTTCACAAACACACAGAGCTAAACATTATTGTTTAGGAAAGATGTATGTTACATACATGTTTTTCCATTGTGTATGTGCTCAGTTCCACTCATAAGTGTAAATAGCTTCCCCCAAACCTGCTGAATATGTATAAATACAGACCTTGTGAAGCATGAAACCCAACCTGTCCTTCCTCTCTTGGAAGAGACAATACTTCTGATCCATGCTGGAGACCATCTCCCTGTGCAGTCCACAAATAGGCAAAACTGAACATTATTGTTTAGGAGCATACTTTGGCATTAAGCATATAAAGAAAAGCAAGGGAGTGATGGCTATAAAAGTCAAGAGAGTGGTTTCCTTTAGACGAGGAATGGGTTGTGAGTGGGAGGGGCATGTGGAGCACTTTGGGCGTGCTGGCAATATTTTACTTCCTGACCAACTCAGTGTTTTTTGTGGGGTTTGCTATTCCATAATTCATTTATCTGTGTACATTTATTTTTAATGTACTTTTTGATGTTTGTGTTTTATGTGACAATAAAAGGTTTTAAAAACTGAATTATACCGGGTCGGCCGCCGTGGCTCACATCTGTAATCCCAGCACTTTGGGAGGCCGAGGCGGGTGGATCATGAGATCAGGAGATCGAGACCATCCTGGCTAACACGGTGAAACCCCGTCTCTACTAAAAATACAAAAAATTAGCCGGGTGTGGTGGCGGGCGCCTGTAGTGGACTGTGTTAGTGGTGCCGGAGCCAGGTTGTACCTGCTCATGAGAGCCAGTTGTGGTCTCGTCCCAATAACATGCTCTATGAAGTAACATTGGTAGCTTGACATCAGTCACAGTGGGAATATTTACACCACAGGACTGGCAAAGGCTACATATCAGGCTGTTGGGGTTTTTTTTTTTCCCCAGAAAGCGAGTTTATCAACATGTTATTGGTTATATTCATCAATATTTACCATATTAGAAATTAAAACAGTCTGGGCTCAGTGGCTCATGTGTGCAATCCCAGTATTTCGGGAGGCCAAGGCAGGAGAATTACTTGAGCCCCAGGAGCTCAAGACCAGCCTGGGCAACACTGAGAAACTAATTTCTTAAAAATATATATGCATGAAAAATAGCCAGGCATGGTGATGCACTCCTATAGGCCCAGCTACTAGGGAGGCTGAGATGGCAGGATCCGTTGAGCCCAGGAGTTTGAGGCTACAGGGAGCTATGATCGTGCCACTACACTCCAGCCTGGGTGACAGAGAAAGACCCTGTCTCAAAAAAAGAAAGAAAGGAATTAAAACAGAAATTTAAAATATCTTTATTAATTTCAAAATAACAAAAAAACTTATTTCCTGTTAACATAATTAATTTTTTAATAAAGATTAACTCCATTTTCCAAAACAAAAAAATTTGAATAAATTTTTTGCCCATTGGTGATTTTGGTGGTCTTCTGGAAAATATTGCTTTATTAAGCTGTGTAGATCTTCTTCCAAACTATATAACATTTTTAAAAATCACACTTGCTGCTGCATACAGTGGCTCACACCTTGTAATATCAGCACTTTGGGAGGCTGAGGCGAGCAGATCACTTGAGCCCAGGAGTTCAAGATCCACCTGGGCAACATGATGAAACCTCATCTCTACAAACAAATACAAAAATTAGCCAGGCATGGTGATCCACAGCTGTTGTCCCAGCTATTTGGGAGAGTGAGGTAGGAGGATGGCCTGAGCCCAGGTGGTCGAGGCTACAGTAAGCAGCGATTGCACCACTACACTCTAGCCTGGGCAACAGAGTGAGACCCTGTCTCAAAAAAAAAAAAAAAAAATCGCATTTGCTAACATCATTACTGTTATCATCAGAAAAGCATGAACTATTAGGAAGTTGTCAAGTTCACAGTGGTGGATATAAGTTTTCCAAAATTCCAGTTCTAGTTTGAAAGCTCAAAATTTTGTTATTGGCAACAATTAATCTCAGTCGTTTTCCTTGAAGTGACAGGCTTACCTCATTCATTTTCAAGGAAACATCAAGAAAACATTTCATCGAGAGGCTGAGACAGGAGAATCGCTTGAACCTGGGAGGCAAAGTTTGCAGTGAGCCAAGATTGCACCACAGCACTCCAGCCTGCGTGACAGAGCGAGACTCCGTCTCAAAACAAACAAACATACATACAAAAACAACAACAACAAAAAGAAAACATTTCAAACTTAAGTAATCATGGTTTGTCTGCAAGTAAACATGGTCTGTCAAGTAAAAACAGTGTTTCACTAAAAAAAAAAAAAAAAGCCCAGTTAATTAATTCAGTTCACAACTCAGTCACCCACACAAATGCTCTTTAAAAGCTCAAGACAGTGCTCACCCTTGGATGTGCAACATCAGTGCCTTATTTGTATCTCCTTCCCATTTCATCACACAGAGTGCTAAAAAGGCATTTGCTCAGGGTCAAGGTTTTATCAAAATAATAACTGATACTTCTTCATCAAAGGACATTCTTAAGTGAACTTAATTTTTTTGTTTAAACTGTAAGTGTGTGGCAGTGAAGAATAAAGGATACTGACATAATTAATGGCACTGCCTTGATCCATGAACAGGTGCCAGCAATTTTACCTACAAATGCTTTTGCACCATCAAAGTCAGCACTGTGGGCCAGGCGCAGTGGCTCACACCTGTAATTCCAGCACTTTGGGAGGCCGAGGTAGGTGGATCACCTGAGGTCAGGAGTTCGAGAACAGCTTGGCCAACATGGTGAAACCCCGTCTCTAGTCATAATACAAAAATTAGCCAGGGGGTGGCGGTGCACACTTCCTCAGCTACGGAGGCTGAGGCAGGAGAACTGCTGGAACCAGGAGGTAGAGGTTGCAGTGAGCCGAGCCAAGATCGTGCCATTGCACTCCAGGCCGGGTGACAAGAGCAAAATTCTGTCTCAAAAAAAAAAAAAAAAAAAAAAGTCAGCACTCTAGTAGAAAAGGGCAAATAACATTTTAGTAGTAGTATGAAAATTGTCGGCTGGGCACAGTGGCTCACACCTGTAATCCCAACACTTTGGGGGGCCAAGGCGAGAGGATCCAAGGTCAGGAGTTCAAGACCAGCCTGGCCAACATAGTGAAACCCCATCTCTACTAAAAATAAAAAAAATTAGCCGGGCATTGTGGCGGGTGCCTGTAATCCCAGCTACTCAGGAGGCTGAGGCAGGAGAATTGCTTGAACCTGAGAGGCAGAGGTTGCAGTGAGCCAAGATCACGTCATTGCGCTCTAGCCCGGGCAATAAGAGTGAGACACCATATCAAAAAAAAAAGAAAGAAAAAAGAAAATTGTTTTCACCCGCCAGGCCCCTTGAAAGGGACTTGGGACCTCCAAGCATCTGTGGATCTCACTTTGAAACCCATTGCTCTAGGATGAATACTTAGAAGTGGAATTGCTACATCAGAGAGTGCATATGTGCCTCCAGCTGTACTAGATAATGCCAATTATTTTCCAGAGGGTTGTATCAGTTTACATTCCCACCATGAGTGTATGGGCATTTCCACTGCTCCACACCTTCCGGAACTTTTTCAGCATCCCAAACAGAAACTTTGTACCCTTTAACCTATAACTCCCCATTCTCCCCTTCTCCTCAACCCCTGGTATTCTCTCTTCTCCTTTGTCTCTGTGAATTTGTCTAGTCTAGGTATCTCATATAAGTGGAATCACATAATACTTGTCCTCCTGTGTCAGTTTTCTTGCCCTGAGATAATGCTGTCAAGGTTCGTCTATGTTGTAGCACATAACAGAACTGCATTCCTCTTTATGGCTGAACAGTATTTCCATTGTATGTATTTAACACATTGTTTATCCATTCATCTGGTGATGGACATTTGCTGTGTTTTCACATTTTGGCTTCTGCAAATAATGCTGGTATGAACACTGGTGTACAAGTAGCTGTTTGAATCCCTGCTTTCAGTTCTTTGGGTTCATACCTAGGTGTGATATTGGCCCCACAAAACTGTTTTCTTCTCTCTTCTTTTTTTTTTCCCAGGTCAGATGGGTGACGTGCTGACATCATAACAAGTTTCAAGGGTGGCACATCTTACACACGTACATGAACACCTAATCATCAGGCTCACAAACCACAAAAGGATCTGTTTTCCACAGCATCTGCATCATTTCTCATTCCTGCCAGAAGAGCACGAGGGTTCCCATTTCACTACCTCCTCACCAACCCCTGTTATTTTCCAGTTTTTAAATAACAAGCAGCCTCGTGGGTGTGAAGTGGCATCTCATTGTGATTTAATTTCCCCTAATGACTAACAGTATCGAGCATCTTGTCACATGCTCATTGGCCATTTATACACTCACTTTAGAGAAATGTCCATTCAAGTCCTTTGCCCATTTTTTTGTTTTTCATTTTTTATTTTAGGTTCAAGGGGGGTATGTGCAGGTTTTTACATGCATATATTGCAAGATCCTAGAACTTGGGCTTCTAATGATCCTGCCACCCAAGTAGTGAACATAGTACCCAATAGGGAGTTTTCAACACTTGCCCTCCTTCCCCCTCCCCACTTTTGGAATCCCTGGTGTCCACTGTCCCATGTTTGTGCCCATGTGTCCCCAGTGTTGAACTCTCACTTGTAAGTGAGAACATGTGATTGTTGGTTTACTGTTTCTGCATTAATTCACTTAGGATAATGGCCCCAGTTGCATCTATGTTGCCACATAGAACATGATTTCATTCCTCTTTATGGCTATGTAGTATTCCATGATGCATATGTACCACATTTTCTTTTCTTGTCTTTTCTTTTCAGAGACAGTGTCTCACTCTGAAGTGCATTGACATGATCACAGCTCATTGCAAGCTTCAACCCTCCAGGCTGAAGCAATCCTCCTGTTTCAGTCTCCTGAGTAGCTGGTTCTGCAGGTGCGTACCACCACATCTGGCTAATTTTTATCTTTTTGGTAGAGACGAGGTTTCACCACGTTGCCCAGGTTGGTCTCAAACTCGTAAGCTCAAGTGACCCACCAGCCTCAGTCTCCCAAAGTGCTGGGATTACAGGCGTGCGCCCCTGCACCCAGCCTGTACCACATTTTCTTTATCCAATCCACACCATTGAGGGGCACCTGGGTTGATTCCATGTCTTTACTGTTGTAAATAGTGCCGCAATAAATATACAAGTATAGGTATCTTTTTGGTAAAAGGGTTTATTTTCCTTTGGGTAAATACTTAGTAATGGGATTGTTGGGTCTAACCGTAATTCTATTTTTAGTTCTTTGCCTTTGCTCATTTTTAAATCAGGTTTTGTGTGTGTGTATGGCTGTTACTTCTTCCTTGAATATTACGTAAATCAATCCATCTGGGCCAGGAGGTTTCTGTTTGGTTTTGGTTTTGTAGGAAGGCTTTTCAATTTTAGATTCACTATCTTTATTAGGTACAAAACTACATAGGTTTTCTGTTGCCTTTTCCAGTTTTGGTAAGTTGTATTTTTCTAGGAATTTTCACATTGCATCTAAATTTTCAAAATTTTTGACATACATTGCTCATAATATCTTATCTTTTTATATCTCTAGGGCCTGTATTAAAGTTCCCTTTATGCCTAGTATTTATTATTTATGCCTTTTCTCTTTCACCTTTATTGTTCTCACCAGATATTACCAATTTTATCAGTCTTTGCCAAGAGCCAAAACGTGATATGGTTGATCATCTCTATTGTGTGATTGTTTTATTTCAGAAATTTTCCTTTAAAGATATAAAAAACAATTTTTTTAAAAAAGGGTAAATATAAAGATACTTTTAAAAACTTTATATTTTTCATTATGTTCCTTGTATTTTCTTTGGATTTGTTTTGTTATCAGTTTTTTGGTTTTTTGAGATGGATGTTTACTTCATTAATTTTCAGCCTTTATTCCTTTCTTCTATATGCTTTTAAGACTATAAATTCCCTTAATTGTTGTTTTGAGAATATAAATTCCCTTAACTATTATTTTTCTACTTCCCATAATAGACTAAACTATTTTCTATTACTTTAGTGTTTACCAAAGAAATTACCATGCACTCATTACTTAGCAAAGCCTAATGTTGGTTGATACTTTTACCCTCCTCCCAGAAAACTCAAGGACCTTAGAACAATTTAACTCTATTTGGTCCCTTCTAGACCTATATGTTATTGTGTACTTTAATTCTCTTTCCTATATATTTTACATTACATGTGTTATTATTATTATTATCATTTTATAGTTAGCATTTACTTAGATTTGCCCACATAATTTCCATTTGCATTATTTTTTATTCCATTCTTCATCTCTGACCTCCCATCTGTGATCATTTTCCTTTTTCCTGAAGAACCCTTTAGAATATCCTTTAAAGGAGTTCTGCTGGTGGCAAACTTCCTCAGTTTCTATTTATCTGAAAACATCTTTATTTCACTTTGATTCTGAAGGATATTTTCAGTGAGGGTAGAATTCCAGTTTGGCAGTTACTTTTCTTCACACATAGAATATATTTTTCCACTGTTTCCTGACTGTCATTGTTGCTTCTGAGAAAACAGGTGTCAGTCTACTAATTCTTTTAAGGTATTTGGGCAATTGTTTTGTTTTTAAGATTTTCTCTTTGTCCTTGGTTTCCTGCAGCATTTTCTGATGTATCTAGGAGTGGATTGCTTTATGCTGCTTGCAATATGCTTCTTGGATTTATGGATAAATGTCTTTCAATCATTTTAGGAAATTCTCAGCTATTTTCTGTTCAGATATGGCTCCTGCCTCCTTTCTTTCTACTCTCCTTTTAGGACACCAATTACATATTTGTTCTTTCTTATCACTGAATCCTCAATGCCTCTGGCCCCCTCTTCTATATTTTCTACGCTTTTGTCTCTTCATGTTTGATTTCTTACAGTTTCTTGTGACCTAGATTCCAGTTTACGTAACTTTTCTTCCGGTGTGTCTAAGGTGAAATCAAACCTGTTAAAGCAAACTAAATATGGCCTGAGGAGGACTCTGCACTTCTCTATTTGAGTCCTTGTGGACAAATCGTAACCTAGCTTAATAGGCAGACAAGATTGAACACCTAAGTTACAAGTATGCACCTGTAACAACAGCTGAGTCTTAGCCAATCCCAGAAGTCATACTTCAGCCATGCACAGGCTGCTGAGTGTTCAAATTATGTTCAAATAAGGCAAACGCCAACCTGTAACCAATCCAGCTGTTTCTGTACCTCACCTCCAATTTCTGTATGTAACTTCCCCCTTTTTTGGTCTATAAATTTGTTCTCACTACAAGGCACCTCTGGAGTGTCTCTGAATCTGCTATGATTCTGGGGGCTGCCCAATTTGTGAATCATTCATTGCTCAGTTAAACTCCTTTAAATTTAACTTCGCTGAAGTTTTTCTTTTGACAGGTCTACCCATTAAATTTTTCTTTTGATTACTGCATTCTTCAGTTCTAGAATTTCTATTTGTTTCCTATATATATGTGTGTGTGTGCGTGTGCATTAATGCTATGTTACTTTTACCATTTTAATTTTTTAAATTTTGTTTTGCCTCCTGAACTTTTAATTACCACTTTCAACCTCCTCAAATTTCAGATTTATATTTTATCCCCTTGAGCATAGTTAGCAGACCTCTTTTACAGAATGTGGATTTTTTACTGTTGTTTCATTGGGTTCTTATTTCTAGCTCTTTTCTTCTCATGTAGCTGGTATTTTAAAAACTCTTTGCAAAAATAATGTAAAGCATAGAATATTTCCTTCATCCAGAGATGATTGTCATTTGCTTTTCCAAGGACCTGTGAACATTAGAAATTGGGCACCACTTTAATCCAGTGTATGGGTTGGATTACGGAACACTTTAGTCCAATCCGATTCACATTTTCAGTCACTGTATAATCACAATGCAATGTGCTCAGAACTATGATTGAGGAACTACAGTCTGCTATGCAAGCCTGAAGGAGAAGAATCTAACCCTGACTGGAGTAGGAAGGCTTACTGGGAAGGCAAAGTCTAAGACAGGACCCAAGGAGTGAATAATGAATTGACTTCTTCACTCCTGATTCACTATGACCTAGAAATATTTCTTAAAGACGGCAAATCAGTGTCAGGTTATTGCAATGGGAACCGAACGGTTGTAGGATGGTGGATTTGGAACACAAACCAACTTGGCTTCCAATTCCAGTTCCACCACTCACCAAGAAACTTTGAACAAGTTTCCGGGCCACGTCAACCTTGGATTCCTGATCTATAAATTGGGAAGAAATATTATATGCTTCATAACATGATGAGGATTCAATGAGATGTCACCTAAAAGCACCCGGTAAAATGTCTGTCACATAGAAAAGGTCAAAAAATCGTCAATTCTTTCTTCTCTTTATGCCTAAACCAAGTTTATTCTAGTAACAACATTTAATCCTTTTCCTTCATTAGAAGAGTGTATTTGAAAATTTGGGGCAGAAGAATCCCAAGGAATGTAATTCTAGATTCTCTTTGAATAGAGAATTCCTGCATACAAGAGTAACTTCTTAACCCCAACGGGGGCTTTGCTGTGAGTCCGATCAACAGCACCCCCTGCCCTCTACAGTTGAGTCTGACAAGCAGCATATACCTAAGCACAACTTGCATTGAGTCAGCATGAACAACCCGTTAGATATGATGATCCCCACTTCAAGGCAAGAAAACTGAGGGGCTGGGAGGTTAAATGTTGGGTCTCTGATTGGCTCCAGATCACGTGTTCTGCGTCATTCTACCTCCTGGAAGGGCCTTGGGAATGCAGCAGCAACAAGTCCAAAATTTATCTCTTCAACATAAAATTAAAACTCCTCTGTCCTTTAGTGCTGACAGCCAGGGAATTGTTTCATAGTAATGGAGATAGAGCCTTGAGTGTTTTTTCTATGACTAGAAATGCTTTGAAACCGAATCCCAGGCGCTGCCTTATCTGATTTAACCTTGTACAGCAATTTGCAAGACAGCCAGCTGCCATGTTGGGGCAGTGGTGTTCTTGTCAGGGAACCAAACAAGCTTTGGCAACCTGCATAACTAGGAACCCGTGTGCTGACTCTGACAACGTTTGCTTTGTTAAATGGAGGCAAAGATATTTGAGGCAAAAACCCACTAATGGGTTGAGTCAAGGAACTTTCCTTTTAAAATACAGATGTGCCATAC